TTACACTTTCGACTTCTTCTCCAAAACCCCTGAACCAATTTCAATGAAATTTTGCAGGAACCTTCCATAGACAAAGGTCAACAAAAATAGTGACCGGTTTAGTCCCAAGCCCCCAGGGGCCTGAGGGGCGGGGCCAAAAAGGGTCAAATTGACTAAAATTTCAAAAATCTTCTTCTCAAGACCCAGATATGGTAGAATCAAATACTCTTCATAGATGGAAGGGTCCTACGGTGCTTTATCAAAATTTTGAATTTCTGGACCCTGGGGTCTCACGTTTCCCCCTTGGGAGGGGGTAAACTTTACTATAGTTTATATAGGGAAATCACATATTGGACCAACATTTGTTTAATTTCCATCGGAAGTAATGCAATTTGGGTTAGCATTATCAGTATCAGGTAGCAGTTTGATGGTATGCACATATCAGCCCTGACTGACCCCCAGGGGCTGATGGGTGGGGCCAAAAAGGGTTGAATTGACTGAAATTTCAAAAATCTTCTTCTCAAGACCCAGATATGGTAGAATCAAATACTCTTCATAGATGGAAGGGTCTTAAGGTGCTTTACCGAAATTGTGAATTTCTTGACCCTGGGGTCTCACGTTTCCCCCTGGGGAGGGGGTAAACTTTACTATAGTTTATATAGGGAAATCACATTTTGGACCAACATTTGTTTAATTTCCATTGGAAGTAATTCAATTTGGGTTAGCATTATCAGTATTAGGTAGCAGTTTGATAATAAGCACATATGAGCCCTGACTGACCCCCAGGGGCTGATGGGTGGGGCCAAAAAGGGTCGAATTTACTGAAATTTCAAAAATCTTCTTCTCAAGACCCAGATATGGTAGAATCAAACACTCTTCATAGATGGAAGGGTCTTAAGGTTTATGACCCTAGGGTCTCACGTTTATCCCCTGGGGAAGGAGGGGCAACATTTATTATGGTTTATAATGGCAAATGATACTTTGAATATTACATGTTAATAACTTGATTGGAATTATAACCTTGAGTTGACAGTTTGATACTTTGAAAATTTTGAGCCAGCCCTACCCCCAAGGGCTGTAGGGTGGGGCCCAAAGGAGGCAGTGAGCAAAAATTTCTTCATTTTCCTTGTTTAGAATCAGAGGTGCTAGTTTCAAATACTTTTTAGTTTGAAATCTGTATGCTAGATATTGAATAAGGTGGTTTTATTGTTTTTTGTCCTTTTGAATAATATTTCTGTTCATGTTAAAAACAAAATCAACTCTCTGTATAAATATATCAGGTGACCGTTAAGGCTCATGGGCCTCTTGTTCTCTCTTACTTACCTAATCTTTCTATTCGGTGTTCCTAGGCACCCGTCTTCCCATGGACTTAGCTGTAGCGAGGACACAACCAAACCCTTGACAGAACCAAAATAACTATTTACCCAAAAGGCCCAGAAGAACTATTGAAAGGTTGTAGTTAACTTGAGTTTGTAAATTGTAAATTTTGCAATGTTAAATAATACTTTTGGATTACATTAAAAGACCTTATTTGCTGGACAGGTATATGTTGTTGACCAATGAAATACAGTCAGGAATTTTTTGAGCCGACAGGATTCATGCTCGTAACGATTCCGCTAAGGTCTGTTTTTGTATCAGTGTAACATTGTAAGAGTTATCTTTCTTGATTAAAGACACTAGTGGAACTTTTACAGCTCAAGCTCGAGACAACATTCCGGGGATAGGTTATTCAAATTGCAGATTTTTGAATGATCTGAAAGAAGAATTTTAAACTCGAATGTTTTGTTTTTACATATATAGAACATGCTATTTAACAGTGTCGCATAATTTCAGCGAGTAAAAAGGAAATTAGTGCGAGCACGGACTTAAATCTAATTCCGTGGTCGAGCAAAGAATTGAAACACGAGTCTGAGAACATTTTTCACCATGTAGCCTCTAAATTATAGTTATGTACATCTGTTTTTCTCTTCGGTTTTCATCACCTTTAGTGTTATTACTTTAACATCTTAAATGTTTTAATATGTAAACATTATACAACGAAATCATTTTTAACCTTTTTTCCATTTAAAAAGAGCCCAGTACAATGTACTTCATTATTCCTGTTATTTTAGCGGAATCTGTTTTTTCCTTCCTTCTGGTAACAATCTGTTTTTGTGTCATCTTTGTTCGAGAAACCCACCCTTTTGGGCTTGATTTATATTTGTTTTGGCACCGTGCCATGTATCTACCTGGGGCCTGTTCGTTTATGCGGAACAACCGGTTTGACCGTTTATAAATGTAACAATTTAAGGTATAAATCCTGGCAGACCAACACATGTTAATGTTTCAAGGCTCGCCTGAAAGCAGCATCAGATTACTAGGTCCGACCGTATTTAATAAACGAACAACAGTGGTCCGACCGGTTTGTCCATTTAAACGAAAAGGGCCCATATGTCAGAATATTGGGACAGGGTGGAGTGTCCAGGGCAGGGTATGTCATCTCATTCCAGTGAGGGAGGAGTGTCCAGGGCAGGGTATGTCATTTCATTCCAGTGAGGGTGGAGTTTCCAGGGCAGGGCATGTCATCTCATTCCAGTGAGGGTGGAGTGTCCAGGGCAGGGTTCATCTCATTCCAGTGATGGTGGAGTGTCCAGGGCAGGGCATGCCATTTCATTCCAGTGTGGGTGTAGTGTCCAGGGCAGGGTATGTCATTTCATTCCAGTGAGGGTGGAGTGTCCAGGGCAGGGTATGTCATTTCATTCCAGTGAGGGTGGAGTGTCCAGGGCAGGGCATGTCATCTCATTCCAGTGAGGGTGGAGTGTCTAGGGCAGGGCATGTCATCTCATTCCAGTGAGGGTGGAGTTTCCAGGGCAGGGTATGTCATTTCATTCCAGTGAGGGTGGAGTGTCCAGGGCAGGGTATGTCATCTCATTCCAGTGATGGTGGAGTGTCCAGGGCAGGGCATGTCATTTCATTCCAGTGAGGGTGGAGTGTCCAGGGACGGGCATGTAATTTCATTCCAGTGAGGGTAGAGTATCCAGGGCAGGGTATGCCATCTCATTCAAGTGAGGGTGGAGTGTCCAGGGCAGGGTATGTCATCTCGTTCCAGTGAGGACGGAGTGTCCAGAGCAAGGCATGTCATCTCATTCCAACGAGGGTAGAGTATCCAGGGCAGGGTATGCCATCTCATTCCAGTGAGGGAGGAGTGTCCAGGGCAGGGTATGCAATTTCATTCCAGTGAGGGGGGAGTGTCCAGGGCAGGGTACGCCATCTCATTCCAGTGAGGGAGGAGTGTCCAGGGCAGGGTATGACATCTCATTCAAGTGAGGGTGGAGTGTCCAGGGAAGGGCATGTAATTTCATTCCAGTGAGGGCGGAGTGTCCAGAGCAAGGCATGTCATCTCATTCCAACGAGGGTAGAGTATCCACGGCAGGGTATGCCATCTCATTCCGGTGAGGTTGGAGTTTCCAGGGCAGGGTATGTCATCTGATTCCAGTGAGGGTGGAGTTTCCAGGGCAGGGTATGTCATTTCATTCCAGTTAGGGTGGAGTGTCCAGGGCCGGGCATGTAATTTCATTCCAGTGAGGGTGGAGTCTCCAGGGCAGGTTATGTCATCTCATTCCAGTGATGGTGGAGTGTCCAGGGCAAGGCATGTCATCTCATTCCAGTGAGGGTAGAGTATCCAGGGCAAGGCATGTCATCTCATTCCAGTGATGGTGGAGTGTCCAGGGCAAGGCATGTCATCTCATTCCAGTGAGGGTGGAGTGTCCAGGGCATGGCATGTCATTTCATTCCAGTGAGGGTGGAGTGTCCAGGGACGGGCATGTAATTTCATTCCAGTGAGGGTGGAGTGTCCAGGGCAGGGTATGTCATTTCATTCCAATGAGGGTGGAGTGTCCAGGGCAGGGTATGTCATTTCATTCCAGTGAGGGTGGAGTGTCCAGGGACGGCCATGTAATTTCATTCCAGTGAGGGTGGAGTGTCCAGGGCCGGGCATGTAATTTCATTCCAGTGAGGGTGGAGTGTCCAGGGCCGGGCATGTAATTTCATTCCAGTGAGGGTGGAGTGTCCAGGGCCGGGCATGTAATTTCATTCCAGTGAGGGTGGAGTGTCCAGGGCCGGGCATGTAATTTCATTCCAGTGAGGGTGGAGTGTCCAGGGCAAGGTATGTCATTTCATTCCAATGAGGGTGGAGTGTCCAGGGCAGGGCATGTCATTTCATTCCAGTGAGGGTGAAGTGTCCAGGGCAGGGTATGTCATCTCATTCCAGTGAGGGTGGAGTGTCCAGGACAGGGTATGCCATCTCATTCCAGTGAGCTGATGCTTTTAAGAGATGCTGTCATCTGTGGACAATGTTTTCATATGACTTTAGCTGAAACCTGACAATCTGTCAAAAGTTTTTAGTTAACTTGAACTTCGTCGCTTCAAACAAACAAAACCATCTTAGATATCATAGACATTCACAAAAACGCAAAAGGACCTGTGTGTTAGGGAGTCCTGACAACATAGAATATCAGCCATGGTTTTCCTGGAGGATATTGTGACCACCAATATTTTATTATATGTTGAAACTTGCCCGGCAGAAATCCATGACAACACATTTTTGGTCAACATGACGCATCTATTCAGTAAACTTCGGAGGGTTTCTCCAAGTACCAAAGGTGCTGCTGTATTATGAAAAGATTTTTTTTTTACAGTTTTGCATCCCCATACAGCTACGGTCATATTTGTAGGAAGACGATGTCCGCAAAAGATGGGAGCCGCTCAAGATTCTCTTTAAAATGTCATCTCTCTGAAATGTTGTAACTAGACTTTCACCTGGTCACATTTTACCATCGAAAAAAAAGAAAATTTGATTTTGAATTTTATTTATGGTATACCGTGTGCATCATATTTTACTTAGCACACTTAAATTTAAACTTTTAACAGATAAGCTCATTGATGATTTGGCGCAACCCAATTTCTGCAAAGGATGACAATACAGAAACATGAATTAGCATTCTCATAACTCATAACAATATCTAGAGCTCTAAAAACGCTAAAGTAATACTTCCGCCAAAATATGTACATTCACAGTATGAAAGACATGTCACGAGATTGGTGATCGCTGATTTGTGATATTATAAAAACTACAGATCAGAGTCTCATACATTATCACCTTTATTTGTAACTGAAACATGCTACTGATGGATTGCTGATTGTTCTTTAATGATAAAAACAACAAACGAGTTGGTGATTATTTAAGGTCGTTTTATTTTGTATCTCCTCAAACCTACAGCCCAAAGTTCTCCAGGGCTACAGGACCCAATGTTACAACATTATACTGAGGTAGATAAATAAAGCGGAAGTAGTCCTACCTAGACACTCCAATTAGTTCTCTTAGTCTTATCTGTGACATGTATTTAGTCCTACCTGGACTCTCCAATTAGTTATCTTACCTGTGATGTGTATTTATACCTACCTAGACACTCCAATTAGTTCTCTTAGTCTTATCTATGACATGTATTTAGTCCTACCTGGACTCTCCAACTAGTTCTCTTAGTCTTATCTGTGACGTGTATATATACCTACTTAGACTCTCCAATTAGTTCTCTTAGTCTTATCTGTGACGTGTATTTATACCTACCTAGACACTCCAATTAATTCTCTTAGTCTTATCTGTGACGTGTATTTAGTCCTACCTAGACTCTCCAATTAGTTCTCTTAGTCTTACCTGTGACGTGTATATAGCCCTACCTAGACTCTCCAATTAGTTCTCTTAGTCTTATCTGTGACGTGTATTTATACCTACCTAGACTCTCCAACTAGTTCTCTTAGTCTTACCTGTGACGTGTATTTAGTCCTACCTAGACTCTCCAATTAGTTCTGTTAGTCTTATCTGTGACGTGTATTTATACGTACCTAGACTCTCCAATTAGTTCTCTTAGTCTTACCTGTGAGGTGTATTTAGCCCTACCTAGACTCTCCAATTAGTTCTCTTAGTCTTATCTGTGACGTGTATTTAGCCCTACCTGGACTCTCCAATTAGTTCTGTTAGTCTTATCTGTGACGTGTATTTATACGTACCTAGACCCTCCAATTAGTTCTCTTAGTCTTACCTGTGACGTGTATTTAGCCCTACCTAGACTCTCCAATTAGTTCTCTTAGTCTTATCTGTGATGTGTATTTAGTCCTACCTGGACTCTCCAATTAGTTCTCTTAGTCTTACCTGTGACGTGTATTTAGCCCTACCTAGACTCTCCGATTAGTTCTCTTAGTCTTACCTGTGACGTGTATTTATATGTACCTAGACTCTCCAATTAGTTCTCTTAGTCTTATCTTTGACGTGTATTTATATGTACCTAGACTCTCCAATTAGTTCTCTTAAGTCTTATCTGTGACGTGTATTCATACGTACCTAGACTCTCCAATTAGTTCTCTTAGGCTTGTCTTTGACGTGTATTTATACGTACCTAGACTATCAATTAATTCTCTTAGTCTTACCTGTGACGTGTATTTATACCTACCTAGACTCTCCGATTAGTTCTCTTAGTCTTACCTGTGACGTGTATTTAGTCCTACCTAGACTCTCCGATTAGTTCTCTTAGTCTTATCTGTGACGTGTATTTATACCTACTTATACTATCAATTAGTTCTCTTAGTCTTACCTGTGACGTGTATTTATACCTACTTATACTATCAATTAGTTCTCTTAGTCTTACCTGTGACGTGTATTTAGTCCTACCTAGACTCTCCGATTAGTTCTCTTAGTCTTATCTGTGACGTGTATTTATACCTACTTATACTATCAATTAGTTCTCTTAGTCTTACCTGTGACGTGTATTTATACCTACTTATACTATCAATTAGTTCTCTTAGTCTTACCTGTGACGTGTATTTAGTCCTACCTAGACTCTCCGATTAGTTCTCTTAGTCTTATCTGTGACGTGTATTTATACCTACTTATACTATCAATTAGTTCTCTTAGTCTTACCTGTGACGTGTATTTATACCTACCTAGACTCTCCAATTAGTTCTCTTAGTTTTACCAGTGACGTGTATTTATACCTACTTAGACTTATATATTTCGTCTTAACCTAGACTCTCTAATGACACATTCATGTATTAAGTCATACCCAGACTCCTAAAGAAGTGTTCCTATCTTTGCCACGTATAATTTCCACTCCGGACTCTTAAAATAATTCCTCTTCTCTTTGACGTGTATTAGATTCTCAATGATCTCCCATCTTTGCCTATCAAGATTTAATATTTTTCTCGGTTTCTAACGACTTATTTTCCTGCTTCAATACTAATGCAAGTCATCTTCTTTTTCATTGGCTTTGTTTTTAATGTTTAAACATTAAGTCAACATTGTTCAGTATCTTACACATTAGCATCTTGTTTTTCAATTTAGCAATTGAACAGATAAGTATATCAGAATTCTAAAATGTAATGTTATTACCATTATACTATACCTCACTTTGTGACAGTGAAAAGTTTACAAATGTATTAGAAATTCTACACAAAAAATACGCATTTTGATTTTGTTTCTAAACGAAAATAAATGGCAAATAAAACAGAAAGAGAGAAAAAAACCCACTGTGGTGACTTTTCTAAGTCATTAATCAGGCCGATAGGTTGTAAACAAGCCCCAGAAAGGGTATAGGAGGATATAGAGATAGTATGTTAGACGTACAATGTTGAGTAGACATATCTGTACCAGCTACAGTGATACAATATGAGTTTTGTTTTAACATACACACACGAGTTTACAGAATCATTGTTCTTTAGAAAAATTCTTTAACTGCACCAACAAAACAATACATTACCAAAGATAACAATATATGTAAGTTATACACACACATCATCAGTACGATAATGCTACAGTAGTTTTGATTGCTATTGCTCAGGTGGGTCAGTGTTCAGGGCCAGACTTTTATTAGCTACCATACTGTGACAAAATCGTACTTAACTACAGACAGTAAAACCTCAATATAATGCCACACATATTGTTTGCCACCACGCTTACTGAGAGCATATTTCAAGGTTCTGTTTTCATTTTATCCCTAATGGTTTCTCTATGTTTCTCCCTTGATATATCACCAATTGTTTTATTGTTTTAAATATGCGAAAATAAATAAATATTCTTGCATCTTGTATTGAACCCCTATTCTATAACATCAAAATGCTGCTGGTTAACGGTGGCAGCATGATTAAGTTAGTTACTTTTCAGTACCTTACAGTATGAAGGAAATGGTACAGATGAATAATTAATGAGTTTGTTGGCAAAATAATTTCTCAAATATTAGTAAAACGATTTATCCCCCTTCCCCCATATGTGATCACTTATGACACCGAGGCATAACAGGTTGTCTCCCCTTCCCTATGTAGTTGCCACCCACAGTCTGGTCACAGAAGTTTGAAGGTTTAAAAGTGTACTCATTATATAACCACATCAGTACATCCCCTTTCATATACCACTAAACCCCTTTTGCTCTTTCCTAATCACACATAATATGCCCACCTCATTAATTGCCAACCCTGTCTAAATGGTGGCTGTGTAACAAGCATTTTATTATAACATTTTGAAAATAAACCAGAATATGCACCATTCATATGTTGAAGTTTTTTTCAGGTGGTTTCTGAAACTTATCACTCAAAGAAGCTAGTGTGTGATATTTTAAATGATATTTTAATTTGAAGTCTGTTGAATCGCTTTCATACATGACATACCCTATTTACATTATTATTGTACTGGCTTTTTTAAAATGGATTGAAGTTATTTGGATTACAAATACAACCATACATATTCATACTGATCCTCTCAAAAGGTGACAGTAACATTCTCACAAACACGGTGCCTCACAGAGTCTCTCAACCATCCCCTTGCACAATATTGCACTATAAACACAACGTCAACTGTATAACTTTCAGTTTTAAATATAGCGAACAAAATCTTTGATCTCAGATATAGAGGTATAGATATGGTGAGTATACAATTGACAAAAAAGTGCCCTTAATCTGTCAACTGTCAATTGTTTTCTAAAACAGAAACTTATAGAAAATTCCCAGTGATTCCATCACTCTTAACTCATTCACCCCTGAAATTTCATAATGAACTATTCTAACCTTTGTATTGGATGAGTTCAAATGTGTATTCAGGGGTGAATGAGTTAAGCTAAACAAATATTGAGTATTAAAATGATGACAAATTAAGTGCCCACTTGTGAAATACATTTTTTCAAATTCAAACAGAAATGTCCCAGTGACTCCCCCTTTTTAAACGTCTACTTTAGCAGGATGTGCAAGCTTTTTTCATTGCAGACATAAATCAGAACTGTGTCTACAAATCTATATTTACCTTCGAAAATTAAACAACAGCAACTCATTAATCCATGATCATATATTTCTAATGTTAAACAAGCTTAATTGTCCCAATCTAATATTTTCTAAGCAACATCTTGTCCTCTTAAAATTCCATAAAATGATCTCAGATTTCTAGTTTGGAGTAAACCTCTGCTGATTTAGTACTTAACAATAGAAAGTGCAAAAATGTGAAAGATGAAAATAGAACTGCATGTGAGACACAATCTTTTGTAGGATCAGTGACCTATCAGAATCAGAGTGGATCCTGTGTGGATTCTGTGTGTGATGAGCCTGGGTTTGCTATCCATCAAATATTTTGTAAGTCTGTTTTCCATGAAATGAACGCTAATCATATCAGCTGCTGTCAAAAATTCCCATATCTCTCTCCTGACTCACAATTCTGGCTCTAGTAGGGTCTGACCATTTTAATTGGAACAGACACTTTCTCCAACATAAAAGGAACATGTCTGTCTTAATTATGTTACTATTTAATGATGTCACTGTCACTGGAGACAAAGAGTTTCACTTTTTTCTTCTGATCGTCTACTTAAACATTCCTCCATCTGCCTGAATGCAATGAAACGCTGATCCAACGTATTTTGTCTCTAAGTGTGATTTCTAAGTGGCTGAAGTAATGAGAAGCATTTAGTCCTGATCACAATAATATGCTATAACATCAGATGGCAAAATTATAGTGGAATTCTTGTTATAGATATTGATTATTTTCAGTCCATCATTAAAATTCAAACCATGGACATGACAATGGAACCAGAATACGAAAATGACAATAACGTTGATCGTAGTCTGAGAGGATACCAAATTTGCATGTGTAATAATTCCGACGTTTTATAAAACGCCATCAGTCTGAGGAACACTGTGGCAGTCATTGGTAATATTCACCGTAATTAACAATATCAAAAACAATATCAAACAGGGTCAAGAATAATAAGAAGTGCTACCTTCGTAAAAATGTCTCCCTAATATATTTTACCCATAGTTACGACCCTGTATCATGAGTATATGTATGAGCAAGGTGAGAGTATTCAGGACATGGATGGCCACCATTTATCATCCAATACATGGAACAAAAACAGTGTTAGAGAAAAGGTATAGACTGGTACATATGAATATGGAAATTCACTAAACGTCTAACAGGGAGCCAGCTACAAAATAAAGAATTAAAAACAAATCATGACTGAAAAATCTGCCACATATGATACACTGAGGACTTTGATTGAATTTTGTTGTTGAAGCCTGATTTATATCCATTGTGTAAGCCACAGACATATATATATATATATCTACAGACCACCTAATGTATAGAGATGGTACAGAGGAAATTTTGCCACATTCAACAGTGAATATAAAATTTGGGTGATGATATATATATCTAATGATAATAAAAGGCTTAATTATAACTTAACTTTTAGAAAATTTTGTGAAAACACAAATCTACCTTCATTGGAACATTTTTTTTTACAATAACTTAATAATATACAATGGAAATTAATGAATATTCAACCATTTCTTCCTTAACAAACATTCAACAGAATCTTACTTAATAAGTTTTCAACATAATCCATACTATATTCATTACAGGGCAGATAAAATCTGCTGAATATTCATTAAGTAAGATTCTGTTGAATATTTGGTATTAAATTTTTTGAATCGAATTAATACAAAAAATGAATATTCAAAAGAATTCATATTGTATTCTTGATGGTAAGTAAAATCTGTTGAATATTCATTAAGTACATGTATATTCATTGATTAATTACCGAAAAGTGTTACATAAGAAGTGGAATACAGTGACTAAGACCCGTTGAGTTTGAAAATCTATATGACATGAAGAGTTATATGGCATTCCAAAGTAAAAATCCAGTAATTATTGATCTACTCAACCTTCAGTGACCTCAAAAATCATACAATGTGTCAAAGGTCAAGGTCAATTCCTAGCCTCCATTATTTCCATTCTGACATGTATGTACCTTTATATAATTTGAGATTATCCAATAGGAATTAAACATAATGCTATGTAGATATATATTATTATGTACAATTTTTTACAAAAAACAAAACAAAAGTTACATAATTACCATACAAAATGAACATCCATCAAATACGTATTGTATCACAGAATTGTGCTGGTTGGATGACTATGTAACACAGTAATAACACTATGCTGATGAAATAGGATAATTGTGAGAATAATTGTAAGAAATATCATGATGCCCCTTTGGCTTTGTTTGTACGCAAACACATAGGAACGTTGATGACAGAATCACCGACGCGCTCCAATAAGTTTGACAAAGTCATAAAACAAGGTGTCCATCTTATATAATGAACACAACCTATTCTTGATATATGCAAAAAAGATATAATGCTGACCGGTAAAGTACACAAACTTTTCAGCATCAGACAAAGGTTGATGTTGACCCGACTGGCCAAAGTCTAAGCAAGATTTAAAAAATAATTAAATTAATTAATTTGTGAGTCATTAATCTCACAAAACTCTGAACAATTGAGCCCTGGTAACACAATTATTAAGAGTGACCTTCAACCTATCAAGGTCATCATGTTGACCCCCTCAGGGTTATTATATATAAACTTCTCAGGGTCATTCGGTTAACCTTCCATTTGTTTTCAAACTTCTCAAGGTCATTATATGAATTTCTCAAGGGCAATGAATAAACTTCTCACTGTCATTTTATAAACAATTCAAGTTTGTTAATCTAATTATGTTATCTTTTGAAATCACTTGGTACTCCATAATCTTTCGAGTCAATGTCCAGGGCCACCAGTTACATGCCAAACTCCCGAAAATGATAACACAGTCTGATCACTCAGGCAATCAAACTTCCATGACCATCTGCCCTAGCTCTCATCCACTCTGTCACTGACCGGCTGCCAATGGTGGCCATCTTGAAAGACCTAACAGGAATGACCCATATACTGTATCACATTCAGCACTAGCACTAAAGTCCACAACCATGAGGGTTGCCATGGTGATAGTCTGTTACTATGGGAGTAACCATGGTTATCCTCACTGACATTTTGTTCCTGGGTGACCCCCTTTGAAGACATGTATCTCTCCGCTAACTGGTTCATCAAGTCAGACCTGAAATATACAACAATCTTCTATAATACATATTCTTTTAATCAAGGCTCAATAACATTGTTTAAAAAGTTCAGAAGTAATATGTAAAGGGGAAGGTAATGGCAACAATAGAATTACTTATATATCAGCTTTAATTAAAATCTGCCTGGTGACGCAGGTAAAAATGTCTTTGGTATGCCAATGCAGTTACATGTTTCTTGAATTTTGATTGGTCAAAACAGTAACATTTTGGCCAGGTGATGAAAAGATAATTTGAAGAAAACTTAAGTTGAAATCAGAACAGTGGATAGGGAAAAGAAAATTTCCTCAACCAATCACAAGCCAGTGGCGCTATCTTGAAGTTTGAAATAGATTAAGGCCAAAGAGCTTTACACTTGGTCAAGGAAATAAAAGGATATTTTTTACAAAGCATTGATGAAGCATTATGACGATAACAGGGTAGTTATTAGATAATCATACGCACGTTTCAGCATCCATCTTTACCCAGAGGTCGTTGAAAGGTTTCTCTTTATACCGATTATAGATTTTCTTTCTGTGTTTATCTCTTTTCTTCAACCAATCACTGAAAAAAAGAAGTCATGTTTTATTGTACTCGTGTATCTTCTTGTTACATACCGTATATGTTGAACGTAAAAATATTTGTCAACCAAAGAAACCTCCAGTGAGATGTCCTTCATTCCACATTTTAAATGAGGGAGAAAGTGCATAAATCGTGTCTGTAGCATTTTTGATTAATTTATTCCATCCTTCTAATTCAGAATAACTTGTAAGAGCTTTGATATTATCTATATACACCTGTTAAATCTAATTTACATCCCCTACAGCAACTGTTCCATCATTTGACCCCAGGATATAGATTTAGTGTTTGTGTCCGCTTTGATTTGAATGAAATTTGTTTTAGGTAGTTTTGTAGATCTTGGTCAACTTGAGAGCGTGCTGATATATAGTTTTAACAATAATATGACATCTGGATGGGAATTTATCATTAATACTTCAAAAGACATTTATCTAGAATTATGTTAATGAAAGGGTTCAAGTAAAAATAACCCTCAGCAAAATTATTTATCATAAATCTAGTCATTCTATAAAATTTCTAAACTTCCCTGCAAGTCAACTCAGAGTAAGATATTTACATTGCCAACTGGATGGAATACCATACATCCATATATCTTCATGGCAGATTAATTGCCATGTTAACCGGCTAGGAGATTCATTCTCTATTTCAAAACGTCCGCAAATGCTAAAGCCATGGATAAATACCATCAATATTTCAATAATTTTCTCACATTTGAAAATTCAGATACCCACAAATAAAATATACAGGAAAACAAATTAACATTACTCTGTTTTCTTGATGGAGGATTTGGCAGCTGACATTCACTGTACCACAGCAATAGTGTGATGTCACAATTACAACAGAATTCAACAAAAAAAGGTCTTAGTAGATAATGCCACGGACGTCCTATTTACAGAAAGGTAAAGGACAAGAATAGTAACCTAAGTCACCCCTCTGTCTATTTACAGAAAGGTAAAGGACAAGAATATTAACTTAAGTCACCCCTCTGTCTCTGTTTTTAAACATGCATAAAATAATATTTCTGAAAGGATCATTAATAGTTCTCCCAAAGAACATGTTGATCTATATTGTTGGAGCTGCCCTATATATATATATAGTTTAGCCTCTGGAAGTTCAGTGACCTTCAGAATTGGAATTGGAGGTCCAGTGTCGTCCAGAATTTATTTGTTAATGGCACACAAACAGAAATTTAAATTCACTTAAATTCCAGTGGTATTCAAGTGTATATTTGTATTTCGTTGGAAGTCAGTTGAATTCTATTGAGCTTTTTTCTATGGTTCCATTTACAGTGATTATAATGTTACTGCTTACCTGTAATCTGTGTCCGACTCCAATTGGAACCAGAAATCACTAAAACTATCATAATTTGGAAAGGATGTGTTCTTCCCCTTCTTCCTATTTTTTCCATGATGCTTATTAGAATTTTTATGCCTGAAAAAATAAAGAAGAGAAAAAAGTTGCAATTGTAATTTTTGTAACACCAGTTAACTCCCCTGAACCAAAGGGTTTGTGCCATTTAATTGTGACATTGATAGCCTCTATTCATGCAGTAACAAACCACTTAATGACAGATTTGTACACATAAGTTATAATAGAAATGTAAGGAAAACACTGAGGTTATTCTGAATATCTTTAACAGTAAAAAATGCTAATTTAAATTTAACTAGAATTTTGTTTTTGTGAACAAACATATGTCTCCCCTTATTAGCCAATAGACAAACTTTGGTATAAAAAAATCAACAAAGGGCCATATCTCTTTATATAGTGCGGCATGAGACCCGAATTAAGAATATGGCACTCCTACTTCCCAAGATACATTAAAACTATAGCAAATTTGGTCAACGTAGGTGAAATAAAATGGAAGTTATGCCGTGGACAAACTTTGGTATTAAAAATAAACAAAGGGCCATAACTCTGTATATAGTGAGGCACAAAACCTGATTTTAGTGCGAGAGATTCCACCTTCCCAAGATACCAATAATGCTATTTCTTTTGTCTAGTTACTGGGGTATGGGATATCTGGATGTCTTACTTTGGAATGATGCTGTCTGCGGGCGTATGCTCCACCCTGTACCCCTCCTCCCACAGGCGGTCAAGGATGGTATTGTTACCTAGGAAATGACCTACAACATACAAAGGTTACAAAGGCTTAATGCCAGGTACAAAATAAATTCACAATCACACATACAGTATGAATATATTGGAAAAAAATAATCATATTTGAGTTTAGAATATGTAACAATAGATTTTCAGCAATGTTTCCACTAGTGAAAGTGTATAAATCATTACGGTTATATTTTCCAGGAAAGTTATGAACTTTTCAATAGATACCATAAATGAGAATCCGATTCAAATACATTGTGCCTAGTTTGGTTACTTTAAGCTTGAACAAGCTTCAGATTCAACATTTTTTGTAATTTTGCATATAGTTTGGGTGACTGCTATAAAGCAAGAATTTCGAGTTACACGACTGTCCCCTGTAATTTTAATTACTGTTGTGGTTGATTTCAACTACTAACTGGTAACATAGTTATTTATCTGTGTCACCTACTGCACAAGTCAGGGCACAGGTAAATACTACTCTACTGTATTGAAGGGGAACTCATCCTATATCCATGCAGAGAAATAGCATGGCCTTGGTTCACATAATTACTCATTCAGAGGGAAGATTGAACCAAATTAAGTTTGAAATAAATTAAATATCAATTAAATTGCCTTATAATCACATTTTTTAAAATTTATTCAGCAATTTTTAATTCATATGCTAAGGATGCTTATTATCATAAACTCATCATGAAACAAGGTGAAACATTTTCTTGACTATATTTATGTATTTGTGGACTTGTGCATAAATAATAAAACAGCTGTAAGTTATTTTGTATCCGTATCTTGTAACTGTAAACGTTCTAGATTAATTAATTGTTATACAAATTTGGTTCATATTACATAGACAATGAGATCTGCCATAACATATATCACTTACAACAAGCATAAATTTCACAAGCAATACTTGTAATGTATAGGGTGTGTTTTTATCGTAAATTTAATTTTTCTTTTAACTTTTCCATCAAAACTTTAGTAATAAGAGTCTTTATATTGACCAGCCCCTCAGTCATGTATGTATCTTATATTTATATATGGTTGTGCCCCTCAGGACTAACACCATTTATTTCTTTCGACTACAGAATCCTGTATGTCAAATTTAACTGAAATCACAAACTACCCATAATGAAGGCATTTATACTGCTACAAAACACTATAGAGAGTTGCGCACAGTAGCCTCCCCTTAATGTTGGGTTGATATATTTGTAGGTTACTACACAAGTTACACAATTTGATTCCCTTTCATGAGGATGCCCCAGCAACAATGCTCTAGTCTAAAACTTGAAATCCCTAAAACCTTTCTAAACAGATTTGATGGAGGACGCTGTGCCGTGACACAAAATTACTCACAGGACCTTTGGGCCAGGTGAGCTAAAATTGCCAATATACTGTCGCCAAATATTGACTGATGATAAGATGTCAATTCTGTAAAAGATGTCATCTTTCAGACAACAGGAACTATAAGTAGAATCTGTGTAAAAGTTAACATAACAATGTCTACAGTTTTACTGTAATTTGAATGTCTAAAAAGATTCTGTCTCCAGAGCTCAGACTAGAATTGAATAATATGACTGACTGTTAACCATAAAATGTATAAGCTGTCGACAACTTCCCGACAGAAGCAGAGTGAAGCATGCTTACAGCTACAGACTATTATATCTACCTGTTGATACCTGTAAGATCAAAGACAAACCTGCATTCCAGCATCAAATTATGACAAATACACCCCATAGGTAAATCAAATCTAACGCAACACAGGTACAAAAACAACATTCTGACTACCGATACAGCCTACAGCGGCCCTACATCAAATACACAATGGCTTGTTCTGGGCAACGTCTGTCAGATACCACATTATACGGTTATTGAATTTTTAAGTCTTCAATCTATAGCCAATTCTAAAATGAGAATTTAATTTCCCTTGCTTGTAAGTTATGTGTCTGTTTTACGAGAGAAACACCTATGTTTCACAGAAGTAGAACAGCAGAGTAATTGATATGCTAGATGATATAGACTTGTAAACAAGTAAAACTTGAGATTCTCCAATAAAATACACCTCTGTAAGGTGTCCAGCAACAATCTCCTTAACTTCAGCGATTTACTAAAACATTGTTTTGGTCCTAGATTTATTAGTCTCAAGTTTGTTACAAGCCTACGAGTGATATAATATAGCATTAAGTTCAACAGGTGTGTTCTCATTTGTAGGAGAGATACTACGACAGAATCAGATTAAAATCAGAATGATGATCAAGGTCTACTTAGCAGAGATGCCATCGGCAGGTGCTTCAAGTCATACCTCTATTAAATATGTACTTTTTCAGTATTCGATCACTCATGTTTGTAGGCCAAGAATTTCTAATCGTAATTCATCCAATATTTTAAAGAGCTGCACATTTTTTATTGTAAATATTTAGTGTGTAAATGAAAAATATTTCTTTCAACTTTGCCATGGAATTTCCAAATAATCAGATAGCTTGTAAGAAAATGAAATAAAAAGATGACACAGGATTTGCCCACTTGACATGATTATCTCCCCCTTGGAGCCATGTACAATCAAATGTTGGGACCCTTACAATGAATTTTGTTGAAAATTTATCAAAATAATTGTAAGTTTGAATGAAAAATGTGAAGGGACAAAATTTGTTGTGGTTAAGTTTTTTCATTAGTAAAAGTTTGTACTTTTTTTTTAGTGTTGTTTTTTGGTGAAATTTTGAACATATTTCTGTGACCTGATATGCACCAAAATGTCTTTGCTTATTTTTTTTCTGGCCTTAAAGATTGGGGGGGAAAAAGAGGTTATTTTGCAGACTGCTGGAAAAGAAAAATATATCGGAAACAGACAGTATAACAGGTATGTTCTCCAGTAAACGACCAGCCTATACACTACTACCTGTAAAGACTACAACACCTATATGCTACTTTGTAGAAAGTGTGTGGTATATATTCTCTCTAAGTCAGTGCAATGCTGAAGACTGAGTATTTGTACTTGTTGGAACTACCTGAACCTCTTGAGATGAAAGAAATAGAAGTGACATGAAATTGGTGTAAACTAATGTTATTTTCATCTCGAGTCATCTTGTACCTGGCCAGCACAGGCAAGTGCTTTGTTGTGATCTGTGCCAAAATCTCTAAAACAGAAACCGGTGGAGTAGTGGGTGTTTATTCAACCACCCTGTTGCAATCACACAAGCCAGACTATGGCCAATGTTGGGTATGGCTTCGGCATTTAATGTTCTGGAAACTGTTTACTCAGTACTGTATTAAATTGGCAACTAGCACCTCACGATCTACACAGATCTATACACCGATTGCAAAAGCTATCAGCTCTTAATTTTCAATCTAAGTAGGTCTAAGTAACCTCCCATCTACACCCCCTCCCCTAAATTCCTGCTTTTCCTGTCCAACCCTATCATGCAAACTTCTGATCCCTTCCTCCCCTCCCCTGGACCTAGCTCCACCTTCCCCACCTTATCTACCTACAATGCCCTCCCTTGGACCTTGCTCTATCTTCCCCACCTTATCTACCTACAATGCCCTCCCCTGAACCTTGCTCCACCTTCCCCACCTTATCTACCTACAATGCCCTCCCTTGGACCTTGCTCTATCTTCCCCCCCTTATCTACCTACAATGCCCGCCCCTGGACCTTGCTCCACCTTCCCCACCTTACCTACCTACAATGCCCTCCCCTGGACCTTGCTCCCCCTTCCCCACCTTATCTACCTACAATACCCTCGCCTGGACCTTGCTCCAGCTTCCCCACCTTATCTACCTACAATTCCCTCCCCTGGACCTTGCTCCACCTTCCCCACCTTATTTACCTACAATACCCTCCCCTCCCCTGAACCTTGCTCCCCCTTCCCCACCTTATCTACCTACAAAGCCCTCCCCTGGACCTTGCTCCGCCTTCCCCACCTTATCTACCTACAATAACCTCCCCTCCCCTGGACCTTGATCCACCTTCCCCACCTTATCTACCTACACTGCCCTCCCCTCCCCTGGACCTTGCTCCCCCTTCCCCACCTTATCTACCTACAATTCCCTCCCCTGGACCTTGCTCCACCTCCCCCACCTTATCTACCTACAATGCCCCCCCCTGAACCTTGCTCCCCCTTCCCCACCTTATCTACCTACAAAGCCCTCCCCTGGACCTTGCTCCGCCTCCCCCACCTTATCTACCTACAATGCCCCCCCCTCCCCTGAACCTTGCTCCACCTTACCCACCTTATCTACCTACAATGCCTTCCCCTGGACCTTGCTCCACCTTATCTACCTACAATGCCCTCCCATGAACCTTGCTCCACCTTCCCCACCTTATTTACCTACAATACCCTCCCCTCCCCTGAACCTTGCTCCACCTTACCCACCTTATCTACCTACAATGCCATCCCCTGGACCTTGCTCCACCTTCCCCACCTTATCTACCTACAATGCCCTCCCCTTGTCTGCCCTATCAGGTCCTCCTCCCTTCTCCACCATGCCAGTTTCTAATCCACTCCCTACCCTCTCCAAACCCTTATTTCTCCTACCCCACTTTATCAATGTCTGATCCAAATTCTCCCCTCTCCAGACCCCCACCAAATCTATCAATTACAGGTTCCTTCACCTCCAATCACCCTTGTTTTTTTCTTACTCTACTGTATCAACCATGACCTCTCCCCCTTTACCTGTCCTAGCCAGGTCCTGCTCCCTTATCAACCATACACCTCTTCCTCTATTATCCTGTACTGAACTCAATCTCCCAAATCCAAAGACCAATATCCCCTAGCTGCAGTTGAGATTGTTACAGATTGCCACACTTTTACCATACCCATATACAAAGTGATGGTCACTACCCTCCTCCCTCCCCCCACTCTCACCCCAAACCGTATACCATTATATCAATGCCCCCTCCCACTCTCAACCCAAACCATATACCATTATATCAATATCCCCTCCCACTCTCAACCCAAACCATATAACATAATATCAATGCCCCCTCCCACTCTCAACCCAAACCGTATACCATTATATCAATGCCCC